ACTAATCTCTGGATAAGTATTATCTGAGATTGAAGATAAAATATTGCTGCACCGAGCACAATGGGATAGCCAAAGATATTTGTACAGGCATTAAAAAAATATATCAGTGTTAGTTTTTTCATGATCCAATTTCACAACCAGCTTTAGGAGCTTTTACGCTTTTATCTGTTAAAAACAAATACAATTCTACCTATAAAGACAAATCACAAAAGACCATCAAGTTTTCTTCAAGTCCTGTGGAAATTTCTTTCTCTGCTAATCTTTTAAGACTTTTGGTAAGACTGTTGTTAGCTCCAATTGCTATCACCGTGTGAATCAGCATTGATGTGAAACGACTAGTGATGATTATTTTCAAAAAGTGTCCTAGAGATGGGACTGTTCAAACATTTTTTTTTTAGTCAAATCAAATAAATACAAATTCTGATAATGGAATTTCTCAAAGAACTGCCAGACATGCTAAATAGTGACAGTGCTCTCCAAACCAGTCTTGCTATTTCTGGACACTTCTCTGTTTCAGGTTTTCATCATTATCTTATTTTCCCATTGCTTTCAAAGCTACCACAGGTTGGAGAAGAGGAAGTATGGCAATTGGGTAAGTTAAAATGCCACAAATTTCATTTTTAAAAATGAGATTCAGCCATTCCCCTTGAATAAACCCTATTTAGAATGTCACAAGCCTTTGGTTAATTTTTGTATTTCTGAACAAAGTTGCTTTTATGGAGTAGATGCTTAGAAGTCCTATCCCCACCATTATATAAGTGCTATCCCTCTGAGAAAACTATTTTAATCTGCTAATTTTGCATATGAAATCATGTTACCCAAATATAATAAATGAGATTTACATAAAACACCATGACACAGAGAGGGAAGAGGAAAAATAACAAGAATAATAAAAAACTATTGAGGTTGAGATGGTTCATTTTTATTGCCAGTTTCAAAAGGAGCACATATGTGTACGTGAATGTTTGTGTGTGTGTGTGAGAGAGAGAGAGAGAGATACAGCAGGCTTTGGATCTTGTGAAACAAGAAGATTCTGAAAAAAAAAATAAATAAAATGAATAGCCTCCATGATTTCATTACCCTGAACCTGTCAAGTATTAATGGGTTTGTTTATAAGATCACATCTTGGTCATGTTTATATTGACCCTTATAATATCTGCTATTCTAATAGAAATAAACAATGACAGGATCTCCTGTAGTCGACCAGCAATGCAATAGAATTTCAATTAGTCAAGTGACAGTCAGCTGCAACCCCAGAGGAATGAGATCAGATAGCACACAGAATGATGTCCTTATGTTGGCCTGAAAAGCTTAATTGTGAACACCATTCATCTATTTGGTTATTGTACTATTAGTTCTATTATTCTGGAATAGCAATTCCTTTCCTTGGATATATTAGTAAACTTGCATCTCTGCACATGATTCAAACAGTCCAGGATTCTATTGGAAATGAGAAAGAAAGGGAAAAATAGGCCAAACAGTGTCAGGCCAGCAATTCTGAGAGTTTTTAGGGAAAGAAGTCTCCTTTCATTTCCATTTCCAACATAATTACTATTACTTTCATTTGATCACATGCAGTATTTAATTCATCTGGCGGTTCCTACTCTAATCTAATCTGTGACTAACTACTGAAAAGACAAGGTGAGAGAGGTTAGAAAAAAAAATCATTAGATTCCTATAATTTATGAATGTTTAATTTAAGGCCAGTCTTTTCCTCTTACCTCCAAGGAGAGGCATAGTTTATGATGGTGACATTGATATTTTTAAAAATAATGTGTGCTTTGTCTACATTTGATACTCTGTACTAAATGAAGATAAATGTTACATCGATGGATAATTCTACCCCAAGTAATTTTGTTGAATATACATTTATCATTATATTATCTTGAAATAGAAATAAACATGTAAAAATGTAATCAAATAATTTAAATTTATAGAGATTGATTTTTCAGTGGCTCTGCTTCCAGAATCCTACTGTTCTTTACCTGCCTAAATCAAATCAGATACATTTTTAGAATGCCATTTTTGCCAGTAATATTGGTAATAAAAATCTACAAGTAGAAATCCAAAAGTCCTCTATGTCAGAAAGGTTTTTTTAGCCAATTAAATCTAAAATGTTGTTGAAACAAGTAATACAAGACAATAGCTAATAACCACACTTGGGGGTTTTAACTCTACCACTGTTTTCATTCACCACTTACTCTTAACCGTGGTGTCTTCAGATTTTTCACTGAAATTTATGGTGTGACTGATAAACCTAAAAATATTGATAAGTATAATAACTTTAAAGAATAACTTGCATTTACCAAGTGCATTACTTAAATTAACTGAGAAAATAATTCATTTCAATGATCAAACTGTTGATAAATTATTAAACTTATTTAGAATAAATTTTATTCATAGGATTTATGATCTTAAAAGAAAAACTACTTTTAAATTTTCTTTTTCTGCAACTGGCAATGCTGCCTAACATTCCTCTTGTACAATACAAGGTTTTAATTTCCTTAGTTGTTTCATTAACAATAGAGTGGATGTGTCTAAAATTTTGTTGCAGGATACATTTTATTTCCATTATTAAGATACGTGGTTAGGGCCTCCCTCCCTGGTGGCACAGGGCTTAAAGACACAGTGCTGTCAAGCTATCACCAGTTACTGCAACATGAGTTTGATCCCCCTGCAGGCCAGGGAGCAATCCACATGGCACAGCAGACCTCTCCTGTCTTGCCTACTGATCCCCCCTCAGTGGATATTTCATTAGATCCGCCTGTTCTTCTCCCCACTCTGTCTCTGGTAAACCTTCTCACCCCCCGCATCTCTGGCCTCTACCCCATTTCTTCTATGTATAAATAAATCTTTTTAAAAAACTCAGATACATGGTTAGATATTATATCAGAAAAAGGTCTCCAGAAAAATAATCAACAGGATATTAATATGTATCTTTCTGTCTAGCTATCAATATTACCCAAGATAAATGAGCTCTCTCAATACAACATATGTATGTATGTATGTATAATCATTTCTATAACTATTCAAATTATGTAATATAGATATCGACGTGGATGTTAATCAGATATAGATTTACTTTGCATAATCGACTTGTAAAAATGGCAAATGGCAAAAATAAAATTTGCAAGGCAGGCTAGCAGGCTAAAAACTGAGATAGAAGTTGATGTTATATTATAGTTTTGTGGTAGAATTTCTTTTTCTCTTGAAAACTTCAGTTTTTGCTCCTGACACCTTCAGGTGAAGAATCAGGGCCATCACATTATCAAGGATAATATTTTTTATCCAGAGTTAACACACAATCACATATTATTCACATCAACATCCTTAGGATACATAACAACATAACACCTACCTTAGTGTTTGATTAAATCACTGGATAGTATCCAATTGCCAGGTCGAAACATAAAACTAAATACGATTGGTAAACATCCATGAATGGAACAAATTAAAATCTAATTACTATATATATGTTTAATTATCATACACACATAAATATATATTTCCAATCTTGTTAAATTATCAATACATCCACTAAATACTAATATTTTCTGCAAGACCAGTAGTTACATATGTAGGAAAAAACTTTACATTAGTGGGTTAATGAATTAAACTTGATTTTGTAGATAAGATGCATATAGAGCATAATGTTCAAATACTTTGGGTCAGATACCAGTTCAGTGATAATTCCTTATATTTACTAGCAATGTGCTTTGAAGAATTTGTACAGTCTCTTTGAAATCACTGTCTTCACTGGAAACAGAAATAATATACCTGACACTTAATGTGTCCAGCACATTATAAACACTAAGTTTTGAAAGGGGAAAAGATATTTTGTTTTTCAATTGCATTTAAGAACAACAAAAATATATTTTCATTATATGTAGCCCAAATACTCTGCCACAACTCAACCATGATGCCCCCCACTCTGCTCTTTCTAATATAATAGATTTTAATAATTGAAACATCTGTTTCTAAAGAACAGTTTCATTCTCCATATAAAGAACTCCCACATTCTTATAGAATATTAATTGTTGGCTTTGGAAGAGCCAGGGCAGAACAAAATAATTGATATGCCAAATGAAGGACCAAGAATAAAATGTTTTGGGATGTTGAAGACTGATGCCTAAAGTTAACTGTGAATGCAAAGGAGACAGAAGAAAGCAATTTGGAAAGAGAAACAATGTTTAAAGAGAATCACTCACTACTACTTTCCAATATTACCCTTCCTCTAAAACACATTCTCAGTAAAATTCATTCATTGTTCACTTGTCTTCTGGAAGATATTTTATTTTAGAGGAATAAAGATAACCTGTTGAATTCCATTACAGATTTGGTGCCAGATAATAATAATGGCTGTTCTTGGAGAAGATCTACACTGGCATTTTATGATAAGAATAGACACTAAAAGAAAAGACAGAGTGTGTCTAGAAAGAAACTTGAGTGTATATATAAACAATATATGCAAAAGTAAGCATTTCAAATAAGTGGGGGGAAGCTGACTCTGCTCTGTAAGATGAAATAGTGAACATTTTGGAATGGCGAAAAGCATTACACCAAATAGTTTCAACAGAGATGATAATTTTAAATATTTATGAAAAGCCCTAATTTTATACACATACACACAGAGAGAGAGAGAGAAAGAGAGAGAGAGAGAGAGAGAGAGAGAGAGAGAGAGAGAGAGAGAGAGAAGCTCTTAAAGAAAGGCAGGGATACTGTTTTCTTTTTACGTCATGTTCATTGCTGTAATTCTCATCCCCTTCATATCAGGCACATGGTTGTTATTTTTTTAAGTATTATTAAATTAATGAGTAAACACTAGGATAAACATCATAAAGAATACTTTTTTTTTTTCAGTTTTCGGACTATTTATCCTAACATGTATTAAATCAAGTGTAGCCAGAAATTGCCCTGCAGCAATTTTCTTCTAATACTTCCAGATACAAATTGAGATATTTTAATACTTACACTTAACTTCTATGACATGTCACCTAGAAATAATGTTTCTCTGTTTTCAGGATGCATGCCTCTAAATAATCCTGGGAAAAAAAAAGGCTCTAAACCCTCAAGAAACCTTCCCAAATTATGTAGTACAGAAGGTAAATTTTATGAACCCATAGACATCCTTGACATTTAATTAATTCCATAGTCCATTCCAGACAACTAGTCTAGCTTCTAGGGTGTCTTTGATAAATGTGTTTAAAATAAAAGAATGAACACAACATTTCAAGGTATATTTCATGAACATTGAAGAAATTGAGGTTCTCAAAGAAAAGACAACATTGGTAGGGAGAAAAGAATTATGCTTTTCAACTGCTGGCAATGAAATGAGAAATGGATTATGAAGGACTGAGCTAAGGTTAGAATTTTGAGCCATTGCTGGGGGGCTTCAGTGCAGAAATAGTGCTGAGCTTCAAGAACTGACCTCACCAAGAACCTCAGGAAAACCACTGTGGAATGAGCAGAAGCAGCAGTTTGGCTCATACCAAGGTGAGGAGACCATTTTTTCTTGGAGTGTGCCAACCATGTGAACTTCAGCTTTGTGAGGGTTTCAGTGTGTAGCTGAAATAGTAAAGATTTGCAAAAAGATTAAGAAGTTCAAACTGAAGAAATGGAAAATCATCTCTATGACCAAGTTAATTTAGCATAAAAATATAATTGATAGTGAAAGTATAAAGTGTAAAGCCACAGTTAAACCTCTTTACTATCATTAATAGCTTCCTTGCTTTAGAATCTCAGTGCAAGAGGCTGCCCTTACTGCATGGAAGTTGACTGAGATGATTTCAGTTGAGCTGGGAAAATGTTTGCGTGCCCTTAAACCAGCTTTTGTTATGTCATTGTCTGTGACTTAATTAGAATAAAATGATTTCCTTAAAAAAATACACAATGATATGTTTTACTTGTATCAATGTATCTATATAAGGCCTTTTTAGTAAGATGAAGTATCTACAACAACCATCAATGATTTATCTGTATATTATATAAAATAAGTATATTCATAATTAGACTTAATTGTGAATTGATTTATAGAGAATTTTGAATCTTAAGAAATTTTATATATATATATATAAGAAATTTTATATATATATATATATATATCACAGATGATACATAAGATCAAAATAACAACTGCAAGTCCTTAGATAAAAATGATGATATTCTACTTTGGTGAGCCTGTCTTCACCACCACACTGAGGCAAGGGAAAGTGCTGGCCTTTTGCAACAAAGAAATCAAATAATCAGATTAGTATTTTTAATATTCTAATATAAAAATTCCATGTAAAAAAACTTTATAGAATTTTACAGCACGCTGAATTTCAATTTGCCTTATTTCCTAGAACAATTGTCATACCTTCTTTATAGTTTCCTCAGTTATAAACACACCTTTTTAAAATCAATTTTCTTTGACTACTTTTACAAGAAGCTATAAATTAATCTTTCATGTTCTGTTGTTTCTGGAGACTATCTTTTCCTGTGAATTTACTTTGTTGTCTTTTAATATCAGTTGGTTTTCACTTGTATTGATTAAAATGAACATTTCCTCCTAGGGCTACATGCTTATTAGTGATTTTATTTTCACTTTCTATTATCATATTTGATCCAATATTTCAGAAAAAACAACTGAAACAATTTTCAAAATCAAATACCCTTTCCTTACTCCAAAGAAGTAGAAATGCTAGAAGTTCATAAAAATACACATATTTCTACATGTATTCTAGTAGGCGTAAAAGTTTTACCCAAGAGGGCCTCCCAGGTGGCGCAGCTGTTGAGCGCTGGGTTGCGAAGCTGCCCGCAGCCTCTGCAGCCTGCCCCGCAGCCTCTGCAGCGCCGGTTCGATCCCCGGCTGCTCCCGGGCCACCAGGGGAGTGTCCCACATGGTGCGCAGACCTCTTCTGCTGCCCGCTGCTCCCCTCAGCAGTGTACTTCGGTCCTTCTGCCTGCTCTGCTCCCCGCTCTGGCTCTGGTGAATTCTCTCATCCTCCTGCGCTTCTGACTGTACCCAGTGCTTGTATAAATAAATCTTTTAAATAAATAAATAAATAAGTTTTAACCAAGAACCCACAGAATTGCAATATATAGTTAACTATTTAAAAATTTTGTTTTAATTTTAAAATTAATGACTACAAAAGAAAACATAGTGTATATTAATTATAAATATTAATAATGACACAAATATCCAGTGATCCAACATCAAGCTTTGTAATAATACATCTCATTTTTTAAGGTGCCAGGATACTATTGACAATCCCAAATATTGATATTTTATTATGTAAGCATGAACCCTACTATGTTTATATACAAGAACCTAATCAATTAGTTCTTTTTTCACTATTTCATAAATTTATATTTTATGGAAAAGACCTTCACTTTTAATATTGTTTTCAATTGTTCTCAATGTTTGGAGAATTTTTTTTTCATTGGTCCACATAAACATTTGCCAGAGTACCACTTAATAGGTGCTGGCATGGAATGGTGCACCAAGTCTGAAGCCCAAGGACATTGTGAATGGTGTATATAGATTTAAATTCTTTGCACACATAAATTAAAATCATAAAATAATAATAAGTTAATTTAGATATAAATCATAATCCACACTTTACTTAGGGCTGGGAGAGAAATAAGATGGTAATGAAAAATATTTCAACCATACTATGGATGATTTGAATGTCGAATATTTTCTTTGATAGCAGTGCAATACGTTCAGTGAGTTCAAGTGCTGTGACTTATCAAATCTAACCTAAACAGTTTTATCATCACTAAGTTTATTCCAACATTGAATTTCATTTTAATTATTAATAAGTAATTTATTATTTTTGAGTATCCCTTACCTACCTTGTCCTGTGGTAGGCACCGGACACTCAAACATTAACTTGAGCCAACAGAGAATACATGTTAAATCTTGCAACCTAGCATCAGAGAAATGAGTTAATAAAGCAACTATGAAAGTAATTCTACGCATATAATCTGTGATTGGGTTCTGAATAAAAACTGATTTGAGATAGTGTCATTGCAATATAATATAGATCATGAAGACAGATAATTAGAGGAGAAAACCATAATTTTTCTTCCTTCACTAGTAACATAATACATTAGGAAAGTAAGATTAGCCTTTGATACAAGTCAGAAGTTTTCCTGGTCATCATAAGGGAAAAAGAAACAATCTCAAACTAGTTGTATGTTCTCAGTTATTTATTTCCTGAACTTCAAAAATAAATTGAAAGTATATTCTGCAACTATCTAAATAATCGAATTAAGAAAAGAAATAAAACATAGCTCAGGAACTGCAAAGACAATGAAAGGGAATTTTAAGTTATGTTTTGCAATTATTACATCATTCAAGACTAGACTTTTATCTAGATCCTCACTTCTAATATACTTGCATCTAATAAATTTCTGTTTATAACTGCTACGTAGTATGTAAATAAAGGAAGAATCTTTAATTTGGAGGTAATCATGATAATGGTTAATTTTATTTAGTAAGGACCTACCTGGTGGTGCAAGGGGTTAAGACACAACCTATGAAGCAATCCGCAGCCTCTGCAGCACTAGTTCAATCCCCAGCCGGCCAGGGAGCAACACACATGGCACAGCAGACCTCTCCTGTCTCGCCCACTGCTCTCTTCAGCAGTGTACTTTGGTCAATCTGCCTGTTCTGTTCCCCACTCTGTCTCTGGTGAATCCTCTCACCCCCCAGCATCTCTGGCCTGTACCCCAGCTCTTGTATGCATAAATAAATCTTTTAAAAATTATTTAGTAAGACAAACCTAATTGTAGACTTGCTATATGCAATAATATCTTAATAGCTATGAAAATTGCTCTATATATTTGTATAAACCGAAAACAGTTTATGGTCTTCTCACGATGTGATCAACTTTCCTGGAATTATCATTTTTATTATTTTTCCATTGTTTTCTTCCCCCTCCACCATTGCTTAGAGTAAATCCTGTAACAATTCAATTATGAAGGCAGTTTTAATTACTGCAAAATGATTTATATGCCTATTATTTCCTCTTTTGTATTACAATGATTATGCAATCAATAGAACCGTGTTGTTCTCTTGCAGATCCTAATGCTAATTGGTCAGAATACTTCAGAATCAAGTGTTGCATTCATCTACTGTCAGAGAGATAAATATAAGACTCATTTATTTTAATATCCACTGACTAGATTCACTATCAATTTGTAATGTTATCTGTTCTATAGCAGCAGTAATTTTGTAAAGACAGAAATAATCAAGGCTGCCAATGGAGAAGAGGACAGTGTACAGCAAAGCAGGGAGGGACAATAGATTATGGTGGAAGACAATGGGGGCCTTGGTGGTGGGTACGGTGTGGTAACATACCTCAGAGAAGGGATAAACTTATACCTCTGAACATTATATGGTATTATAAACCAGTGTGGCCTCAATAATAATAAAAATATTTAAGAAATGACACCAGGACTTAAGAATCTGAGAATTAGTTAATAAAAGCATCAGCATCAGCAAATATTGCTTCAAGGAAATAGATTGAGAATGTTGCAGTTAGGGAAGGGAGTAGGGATGAGGGAAACATTAGTGAAAATCACAGTTCTGAGACAAAGGGCCGCTAAAAATATGAATATAATACAATTATAGAATATTTCTCCCCATACTTATGGCTTTACGTAATCATAATCAAACAGAAAAAATGACCACAAATCAATAAGGACCTTGTATAATAGCTATGGATTACAGCTACAGCTAAACGAACTTTCAAGACACAGACCTTCATGAGCAGTATGTATGGAAAATTAAACTCAAGAAGAAAGACAAAATCAAGGACACTGGGGAACCGACAGGTAGGGCAAATATTAAGCACAGCCCAAGTTTTAGCCACTCTTAAATTATCACACCAATGGTCTACTTATTTTAATTTCTATTGTTCAATAAAACCTGTCTAACTTTCAACAACAAATTTTATGAGGAATGCCCAAGGACAAGGTAGAACACAGTCTGAAAAGAGAAAGCAGGCATTAGGATCAGAGTCAGTTTTGACAGAGGTGTTAGAATTATCAGACAAAAAAATAAAATAATCATGAATAATACGCTAAGGACTCTAATGGGGAAAGAAGTATATGCGCTTGGTAAGGACAAGTAAAAAATGTAAAGCAAGAGATGGAAATTCCAGGAAAAAATCAAAAGGAAATGTTAGAAATCAAGCACACTGTAACAGAAAGGAAGAATGCCTCTGATGGATTTATGAATTATCTTGACCAAAGAAATAATCCTTTACTTGAAGGAATATATCAATAGAAACTTCCCAAATTGAAATGCAAAGCAAAAAAAGGAATGGAAAATACATACAAAAACTGTGGGTCAGCATCAAAAAGGTAGCATAATTGGAATAACAAAAGAAGGAAAACAAAACTTAAGAAATAGTTGAAGTGAAAATAGCTGAAACAATTCCAAACTTAAAAAGAGACAACAAAGCACACACCTAACGTTAAGACAACATCAAGCAAGATTAAAACCAAAAATAAATAATTAAAATAATATCTAGATTTTTAATAATCCACAGAAAAACAAAACCAAAGAGAAGAACTTGAAAGACAGAAAAAAGTAGCTATGCTAATTTCATAAAAAATAGATTTGTAGGCAAGGACATATCTTATAAGGAGTTAAAAGAGCATAGCACAATGATAAATTGACCAATTTGCAAAAAATCTTAGTCTTAAATATAAATGTGCCTAACAAAAGTTTGTTAAAATTTGTAAGGCAAAATTGATAGAACAACAAGAGGAAATAGATGAATCTGCATTATGGTGAAGACTTAAAGACCTTTCTGTCAATAATTCATAGACTGACTAGGCAGACCGTTCATAAGCATGTAAATGACTTGAATAGCACTGTCAATCAACTTAAACTTCTTGTCACCAATATAATAGTCCATTGACAACTGGAGCAAACATTCTTCTTAAACTCACTAGAAGTATTCTCTAATATAGACCATCTTATAGGCTGTACAGGAAACCTTAACAAATTTCAAATAATGGTAGTCATACAAAATATGTTATCAGGTGACACTGGAACTAAACTGGAAACCAATAACAAAAATATACCCAGAAAATCTCAGAATATTTGAAAACTGAACAAGAACAATTGATGCAGGGAAATATAAAATTCTTATCAAACTAAGAAATAGTGGGGACTTTCTCAACTTGATAAAGAATGTCTCCAAAAAACAACATGTTACTCTGTACTTAGTGGTGAGAAATTGGACACACTCTCAAATTTATATTATGAATATATTTTAAATGTAGAACAAAGTATTTTAGGTTTTTTTTTTAATTGAGATAGCAATGGTTTACAACACAGTATGTGATTCAGTGTTATAGGATCACACCTTTTCAGATGTATTTTACCATATCACATCCACCACCAAAACACCATTGTCCTCCATTATGGTGTTCCATTAGGACCTCTATCCCCATTCTGTCAACCTCAATTCCACAGCTGGACTTTTAGGGTATGTATTGGTTTGGCACTGTCTGACCCCTTAGTTTGATTCTCTATAGATTATAGTGTCAAAAGGAATTCAGGATTTTAAATTTGAGCAATGGAATATGGAAAGTTGTTCTAGTCTAAGGGACAACACTTTTGGCTAAAACTATCAGGTAGCATCAGCCTACTTCATCTCTCCACAGGCTCCTCTCATCTTCATGTGATCATCCCTTCTTATTTTCCTTAACAAAAAAAAAATACCCTTTACTACTATTTTAATTTGAGAGGCAATTCAGAAGATATGCCAGATAATTTTTTATAGTCATTTGCCATCTTGAACTGCAAGTTCAATTATTTTTTCTTAAAGTAGTTGTTGTGTTGATAGAAGCACAAATATATAAGTTTGTCAAAGCTCATGAGATCATATACTTAAAGTAGATAGATTTTATAGTATATAAGTAATATTTCAAAAAAATTTATTAGAATAATCAGGTGAAATAGAAAACCAGCTTAGTAAGGCAACTATTATCAGACTAAATCAGCTCACCCGTATAAATAAATGGATTGGAAATGTTAAATAAAATAATTGTCTTTATCTAAATTTTCAAAATGACCAGAGTTATGGCAGAAACAGAGTTCTCTACTTTTCCCTCCTATTTAATAAATAATTTTCCCTCTGAGCTCTGCTCAGGAGTGGTGACTAATACTGTAGATGATGCATGGTCACTCATCTATCATAAAACTTAACTCTCAAGGTTGTACCATCATAACTCAGTAGGGAAACAAACAAACAAAAAAGACATAAACCAGCTTGCTTTAATAAAGAAACACAATCCAACAAGCAATGCTTTCACTTCAAATAACTGTGAATAGTTTATGAAGAAGCATAATCTACTACATCTAATTTTTTGTGCCTATAGATAGAAAAAATTCTCCTCCTTTAAAATGTCATTCACAAAAATGGCAAAGTCTTCTCTGAGCTTATTTTATAACATTTAGAAACCCCTTCCATTTCATCTGAGAACTCTTCTTAATGCATAGCATGTTTAATATGATTTAATTGGAGTCGATGCTTTCACCCACAGGGGAGGTACATGACTCATACCTTAATGGTTGTAACACAGCATCTTAACCACCTTTGCCACCATCTTGAAGCTATCAGACTGAAAAGCAGAGAAAAAGATGGAAAGCAAGAACAATTATCTATGATATCATTTTAACTTCCTCAATCATCAGTACTTAAAGTCTGTAGAACTTCCTATTTATATGAATTAACACATATTTATTTAATCTTCCTTGAGTTTGGTTTCTTTCAATTACCAACAAAAATAGTACAATAGATTGAATTGTGACCTTAGTCAAATAGCATGTTATGTCATATAGCCATTTGGAACACATTAAAACTATTTGAGCAATCCAGCTGCATTTTATTTCATCCAAATGTATTTGACAAAAAATTTACTTCACTTTTTTCCCCCATAAAATACCTGTAACTAGATTAAAGTGCTGGAATATGACACAATTTCATAAATGGTAACTTTTGAATGATATTTTTTTTATTTAGCTAGTGACAAGAAATTATATTAGTCAAGAAATGCTACTCCCCAGTGGCTCAGCGGTTGAGCGCTGGGCTGCAAAGCTGCCCACAACCTCTGCAGCGCCGGTTCGATACCCAGCCACCAGGCGAGGGTCCCACATGGCGCGCAGACCTCTCCTGCCTCCCGCTGCTCCCCTCAGCAGTGTACTTCATCACTCTGTTCTACTCTCCGCTCTGGCTCTGGTGAATTATCTCACCCTCCCACGCCTCTGTACCCAGTGCTTGTATAAATAAATTAATAAATCTTAAAAAAAAAATGAAATGCTACTTTATTCTAATAGTTATAGAGTGCAATGAAAATGGGGGGGTTCTATTTTACTTGTAAAAAACCATGGAAATGTTTACACTTAGAAACTTAAATTGCTAAACATCATATGTCAGAGTGAAAATTACTCATCATTAATAGTAACCCAGAAGTCTACAAATAATTGAGGATAAAGAAATTGTGAATAGCCAAATCTCTACTGAGGACAACCTAATTTTCCAGATATTTTTGTTATTGGTATGAAATTAGGACATAAATAGGATTGGATCAAATATGCTAATATTTTGTTTAGGATGCATTAGTTCATGCTATTGAAGTATATTAATCTAGTTTCTTGTAATATCTTTGTCTAGTTTTAATGATGGTCTCATACATGTAGTTTGGAAAAATTTTCTCTCCTCTTGTATTTTCTGAAACATACTGTGAATAGGTGACATCAGGTTTTTAAATCTTTGTCCCAATTCTCTTGTTGAACCATATGAAGAACCAGATTTCCTTTTTAAGTTTTAAGCTATGAGCTCAATTTCTGTGAGTACAAAATTATCTTTTTATTCCTGAGTAGGTTTGGGAGCTTTTCTCATGGAATTGGTTCATTTCATCCAACTTGCCAAAGTTTTTGACAGGAATTATTTAATAGCATTGCATTATCTTATGTTCATTTTCATGCATTGGGGTCTGAAGTGTTGTCCTCTCCTTTGCTATTGCTATTAACTACTTTTGCCTGATGCCCTTTTTTCTGGATCATCTGTCAAGGAGATTATTAATGTCAGTGATACTTTTAAGAAGTCAGTTTTTTGAGTTGTTGGTTTCTATATTATTTTCCTGTTTTCAGTTTTATTGATTTCTTATTGTGGGCATTTCCTTCCTTTATCTTTTTTTGGTTATATTTGTTCTTAATATTCTAGTTCTTTAATGTGAAGTTTAGACTATTGATTGAAGACATTTATAAGCATTTAATGCTATTAAATTTATCTATAAATTATGCTAATTGACCCATTTATTATTTAGAAGTATATGCTTTACTTTTCAAATATATCATGATTTTCTCAGATTACTAATAGTTTAATTATTACTAATAGTTTATTATAGTTTATTACTAATTACTAATAGTTTAATTCTATTTTGATGTATAATTTCTACTCTTCATTTTTTTTTTTTTTTAGTTTTCTTTTATGTCACACAGTATGATCTATCTTGTTGAACATGCTCTTGAGAAGAATATGTATTCTGCTTTATCCAGAAAAATTTTCCAATTAGGTCAAATTGAACGATAATGTTACTCAAATTCTCTATTACTGATTCCATGCTTACTTGTTCTGTCAGTTACTGAGAGATGGGTAATGAAGTTTTCAAATACAATTTCAGATTTGTGTGAAACAGTTGTGTCTTATATATTTGAATGTTCTGTCATTTTTTAATAGCTATAGTATCAGTTCTTTCCTTCCATCTGTTATGTTATTATTGCTTTACATTTTATGTATCTAGGCCATAACACCTGCATATTGTTGATAGTTTTGTTATAGTAGCTATTTTTAGAGCAAATAAATAAGAAAATAACTTTATCTTTATTTAATTTTTTGTTATTTTTTCAGCTACATGTGTCTGTTGATATAGATTCAAGTTTCTTTATAGTATAATATTACTTCTTTTGCTTAAGAAAAATCTTCCTTAATTTTTTAAAAATTATCATGCATACAAGAACTGGGTATAGGCCAGAGGTTTGGGGGGATGAGATGATTCACCAGAGACAGTGTGGGGAGCAGAACAGACAGATTGACTGAAATAAACTGCTAAGGGGAGCAGCAAGCGAGACAGGAGAGGTCTGCTATGCCATGTGAGTCACCTCCCTGCCGGGGATCAAATTCATGCTACAGTGACTATGGATCACTTCATAGTGTCTTAACCCCTTGTGCCACAAGGGAGGACCCCTTCCTTAAATTTTTATAAGAAAATCTATTGGAAAATTATTATCTCAATTTTTGTTTGATTAAAAAAAAGTCTACCTTTCAATTTCATGTTTAAAATTAGTTTCATTGGGGGAAGAATTCTATGTTGGCAGAATTTCAATTCTTTTGAGCACTTTAAGGAGTTACTCCAGTGTCCTCTGTCTTGTGTGGTTTCCAACAAGTAAACCTGCTCACCACGTTGTTTCTCAGAGCAACAGAGTATACTGTGAAAATTTCCCTATATCTTTACTTTCTGAGCCTTCCTTTTTCGTTCACCAGTTCACAGTTGGCTTCCCCTTGTTTGTTAAATTGTAACTGAATTCTTATCAGTGTACAGCTGGGTATCCCCAGTGAAGTGGTCACATAACTTTTCACATAAGGTGATTCTCCATACAGGTGACTGCACTTTTATATTTTGGGCCAGTTGGTTCTGCCTTTCAGAAAATATATACAATGTGGATATCCCTGGTGGCGCAGCGGTTGAGCGCTGGGCTACGAAGCTGTCTGCAGCTTCTGCAGCGCCGGTTCGATCCCCAGCCGCCAGCAAGTGTCCCATGTGCAGACCTCTCCTGTCATGCCTGCTGCTCCTCTCAGCAGTGTATTTCATCAGTCTGCCTGTTCTGTTCCCTGCTCTGGCTCTGGTGAATTTCCTCACCCTCCGTGCTTCTAACTGTACCCAGTGTTTGTATAAATAAATCTTAAAAAAAAAAAAAGAAATATATACAATGCATATTATATATAAACATAGATACATTAAATAATATCTGCATTATACATTTATACATATATTGTACAAATATACAATATTTATGTGCTATGTTTTTCAGAATTTTATTTCTTATCTGTATCTAGAGAACATACAATCTACCCAAAGGACAAGTGGATTTTCATTCCATAAAATAGGTTACTGATAGGCTTCACCAGCAATTGCTATCACTACTAATTCATTGGGATCTCACTTAACGAACACATCATTAAATCGACATACACTATTTGCTAATATAATATAAATGTCTGATTTTTATTTTTCTAGGTCTATGTTGTTACCATATGATCAAGGTTTTGGGTTTTTTGTTTGTTTTGTACTCTACATTCTAAGTTAAAGTGAAAATTCCTTTAAAAGGAGAAAAAGATGACTCAATTCAGCTATTAAAGGTAGTTGCTAGCTAGATCCCGAATTTATTTTTGTCTCCTTTTTTAAAAAAATCATACCACTGATGAATTTAAAATTTTTAAAAACTAAACAACTTTAAGAACCCCAGCCATATTCACAACCAAAACAACCATTGAATCGATTAGAGCTAAGGGAAAATATTTGAATGTTATGCTTTTCAGAATTTTCTTTCTTACCTGTGATTAGAAACACAATATAGTCAGTGAGGATTCCAAGCTGCCCTGAATTCCCTCAGAACTCTTTGACAAGCTAAGTTGGGTGTTACCTCAGTCTCACAATGAATAATGGTATAAATCAAAACAGATTGTTTTTATATTATCGCTTTAGCTATTGGTAATAAAAAGAGGAATTACAGAAAACTAAGTTCTAGATAACAGGTGTCTTTATTCTTTTCTGAAAGAAAGAAATCTTTCCAAATACCTTTCAAAAAGAACATGTAGGTATCTATCTGATATACAGCTCATCACAGTGTATTTGACAATTGAAGAAGGATGAACACAGCACTTAATGGAAATGAATTCTTGCAGGATTGCTTAGGTAATGCAACTTAGAATATGATGTTACTGCTTCAATTAATTGATCTTTCACTTGGAAGGACAAAATAAGTGTTTTACCGATTAATATAGCTGTAGAATGTTTAGTGCTGTTTACACAGTGTTTCTCATCCACTTTCTGAACTCACTGAGATAAAATGGAAATATGTTCTATGTTAAATGCTGTGAACACAACATAAAGATAATTAGATTTGATTACAGATGAAAAATACAAGGTGTTTTAGAAATGGATCTGTGTTTCTTATATTCCCAAGTGAAATAATAATTCTTGCTTTAAAAATTAATTGTTCTAGGTTAAATATACTGAGAGTGGAGAATTGGGAAAATAAGTGATAATTGAGTTGGAATACTAATCTTTAGTATTCCTTGGAAGATTAAAAATAGAAGCAACAATAATGGAATTAGACAAAGACACCAATGAGAACTAAAAGTAAGGGATATGGATAGAAGTTAAACATTAAAATTAAATCAAAATTTCAGTTAATAGAAATTACACACTTGTTAAAATATAGGCCTTGTAACATGTACATATATGATTTAGATTATAGTAAAATAAATGAAGAAAGGAGAATTTAAGTATAAAAATCCATCCAACAATTACAATGATAAGATT